TGAAGTATGAGTGTGCCAGCTGTGTGAGTAGAAAGATGTGTGTGTGTCTGTGTGTGTGTGTGAATTCAAGAGCGCTTTATACCTATAACGCCTCAAATAAAAACACAATTATACAACAATACTACCTCAACCACACCAATGTCCCCAGAGGGCAGTTTGTCAGCAGATTTTGCCTGCACCTTCTATTGGCACTAACCCTTGAGGTCTCTCTTATGGTGCAAAAACAAAAAAGGGGGAGTGCAGGGTTAACCCCACAGGAACGTGTTGCCAAAGCCTGCTGGTATTAAATTTTTTAAATTGCTGAACGGAGGAAGGTCCTCCTATCCACTGTCACTTTAACACAGATGATGTGAAACCTCAGGATAAACTCCAAGTTGTAATTTAAAACTTGCAAACATATCAGTGGGAAGGACCTTTTCCCGTAATAACATGGGGGAAGAGGGTATGCTTGTGTTTCTACAGGTTCTGGTCCAAGATGGGTGCCTGCAAGATGGGTCAAACCAGCATTGCCACAGCTACCCACGTGATTTGCAGTGATTCTCCCGCTATGGTGTTCTGGACCTGCCTGGCTGGAGAGCCGGCTGCCAAATGGCAAATCCCTAAAGCACAAAATCCTCCGGTGGAATAGGGGACAATGGGGACGGCTGGGTTCTTTATTTGGCTGATACAAGGCTTAACCTTTTTGGGGATCTCTTAAAGGAATGAGCGTTAAATAGTTGGTTAAATATACGTTGCAGTTAGGATTGGTTTGCCTGTATATTTTTATGGTATGTTTATTGAAACGATTATAACATTTCCTAGATAGAACAACTAAACAAGTGTCCTTAATAAATAAAGGAGGGAGAGATGTGGGAATTAATGCAGGCTGAAGGCCTGGAAAGAACCAGACCTTAGCAACAGGTTTCAGGGCAAGCAGAGTACAGAGCAACTCAGCACAGGGATGAGTTGCAAGCCCGAAAGACTGACATGTCCCCATGTGACAGCTAGCAGCCAAGCAGATGCTGCGGTTACAGTTTTTACCTTACAAGGAATACTTTCATTTCTGTGTAGGTTATAAAAGGCTGTGCCCTTTGAATAAAGTTGTCTCTGGTCCTTTCCCCCTCTGAGTCCGTGACCTTCAACATGCCACACAGAGCTACCAAAACCTAGGAATAACTGAAGAATCCATCCAGTTTGTTCAGGTATGAGAAGGAAGGGTGAGAGAGAAAGCCAAATAGTTCTCCCTTCCACACCATTACCTAAATGTAAACGCTAAATTACAGGACAGGAAAAAAAAGAGTTTTGACACTTTTTTCTAACTTATTTACAATCAGTTTAACACCTCTGTGCTGAAGTGTGCAACTTTGACACCTTATTCACCAAAGACTGGCCACATTTTAAACCACAGTAAATGCTGCCATCTAATGGTGCTTGATCCCTGAACAAAAGCTGTCGGCTCGTTCCAGGTCTCAAAGAACAAAAGAAATAGTTTCACCTCACAAGCATCACTCTGCGTGAAACAACCCAATCCAGACAAGAGCAAATCTCAAGCAGAACCACCAAATATCTCTGCATCCTCTGCCCAGGGCTGCAGCTCCTGAGTGCAAATTCCTGAGTTAAGCTAAGGGGGTTGCAAACCTTCATCAACCATTTTTTTTTTCTGAACTGCAGCTGATTCTGGAAGTAATCATAGAATCATTAGGATTGGAAAAGATCTCCAAGATGATCAAGTCCAACCCTTAATCAAACATCACCATGCCCACAGTAGTAAGTGCCACATCCATTTGTTTTTGGAACATTTCCAGAGATGCTGATTCCACCAGTTCCCTGGAGAGTCAGTGCTCAACCATAACAAAGCCTGTTCAAACCATACTGTATCTGAACTTTTTATCTCTTCACTTTCTTGTCTTCATTTGTCCTGAAATTAACTTAGATTAGACTGTTATATTTAATAGTATTTAACATGGGAAATTAGGGTAAAAATTAAGTAATTACCTAATTGTTCCTGCTATTCTTGGCCTCAAGATGCTAAATATTTTCTGCTTCCCTGTAAAAAGTGAAACATTTTCACTTTTCTTGTGCTAATAGGAAGCTACTTTTGGAAAATTATATTACTGAGCCAACCATAACAAACATGCAGGTTATTGCTGTAGAATGAGAGATTTTAAGTCAGAATCCTGCCCCACAATCTCTCTAAAAGGCTCAGTCCTTAAAAGGAAAAATAGGGCAACTTTCTATGACACACCAGGTGGTAAAGTTAGTCAACACAGAGGAAAGGGCATGTGGTGTGAGCCTCTAAGAAAAGGCACTGAAGCTCCACCAAAGACTGTGAGATAGAATAACAATCCTCAATCTTCCTCAGAGTCTATTTGAGAATTTTCAAGGCCCTGAATTGGATCACCACATTATTTAAATTTTTCACTCCTGCGTGTAAGTATCCATGGAAGAAGAGGGAACACACAGCCACTGAGATACTTACTCAGTCCAGCTGGGTTGTGGTGGAAGCAGAGGTACAGTCATAAGAACAAATTGAGTAACACAGTACATATAATAAAGCCAACAAAACATGTGAATAGTAAGTTAAGGAAAAAATGCCACATTATAAAACAGTTCATAATTCATAGTTCATAGAAGGTCCTGATTTCCACACAAAAAGCATACAGACATTCAAATAATTGCTTTGTTTTTGACTATGCTCAGGACTATTCAGGTATTTTCCAAAGAAACTAATAATAGATCAAATCTGTTCACCTGGGAAAACTTCATAATTTGCATAAAACAATGAATTATCTGCATGTGCAAACAGTTTCATGAGTGAAGTCTTTAGTGGGACGTGTTTGACAGAAGAGAAGAGAAATATAAATAAATGAAAAAATATGGTCAACTGTGATTTGAAACTTGAAAAATCTCCCTTTTTTATTTTTTGCAACAGGAGGATGAAATAAAGAGAAATGTGCCACAGCTCCATAATAAATAGAGGTTTTAAGCCTAGGAAAACCACTTGAAAAAGCTTAATTACCTATAAACAGTGTTCCTTGAAACTGAGATTCCATACCCACATGTTAAGCAAAACAGCCCTCTGCTCTGCAGGGGTTCAGAAAGCTTTCTCACTTTATGTGGTTGGCAATTAAAACTTGCATGAGAAAAAAACACTCTTTCATAAAAATTCACCTGTCACCTAATAAAATTGTTTGGGGTATTATTTAAATAAACATTGTTCTTAAATTTCGAGTTTACTTGCAAGTGAATAGTAAATTTAGTAATTTCTAACAGCAGGAATTCACATTCAAAGTCAGACAGAAGTTCCACTAAAAGGACTTATTTTCAGAAATTAATAATTCCAAATGAATACAGATTTTTCAAGTCTGCATCTTGAACCATATCTAACTGCAATCATGAGTAAAGCTTTCTGTTTTCTTACTTGGAGCTGTGACCTGGCCATGCACATTTTGAAGGAAAGACAGCAGCTCTATGAAAGTGCATTATTGCCTGAGAGGAAGAAGTAGTAATGAGAATGAATGTGAAGAGCAAGTGATCATATTCACTTGGTCAAAGTAATTAAACTACTTAAATCAATTAAATAGT